AATGAAATTAACAAAGAATATACTTCAAACTCATTAGAATAGTGACTCTTCCAAGAAATTATGAGTTTTAACTTTGTCATTCTTTTTAACAATTCAGTAATACAGTAATAGTAATTTTATTAGTAAGATTCTTCCAATACCTAGACTATGTTTTCCAATGATAAAATTTCCCTTATTCTTTTTTAAAAAGACAGCAGATGATTTTGCCATTTTATTGGAATACTTTTGACTTTCTCTAAACAAGTGGTTTTCAACCCAGGTGACCTCCCCTTTGCAGCCCCCTCACATTTGCCAGTATCTGGAGACAGTTTTGGTTTTCATAGTTTGAGGAAGGGTGCTGCTGGCTTCAGATGGGTAGAAGCTAGAAATGTTGCTGAACTCCTTCCGGTGCATAGAAGAGTCTCCTTGTAGCAAAGGATTGTTTTGCCCAGGTTGTCAGCAGTGCTGAAACCGCAATCCCCTCCTGTCGGTGAAACCCTACTCTGTTTGGATGAAAGGCACATGGACTGGACTGGCATTCTGTGGGCCTTATTATTTAATTGTGTTTCTTTGGAATATGTCGGCTTTGTTTGTTATGACTCCTTAAGAATGCTGGATGAAAGGATCAAGCTTTAATTACCAGAAAAATGGGTTTGATATTCTATTAAGGAAGCAGAGGGCTTTTTTTCCTTGCTGAAAGAAGCTATTTGGCAAATTAGTCACAAGACATCTATTATTAATGGTTATCTGAAGGTTCTTGTTGCTTTTTCAAGAATTCATGTTATAAATATGAAGGGAGAAGATTAAAACTGGAACTGTCATCTTTCACTCACATAAACAACTTGAGATCCTGAAATCTTTTGTCAACAATCGTAATTATACACAGCTACTTCCAGTATGAGCAACTAGCATGATGGCCAGTGCTGGGATATAGGTTCTCTGTAAATCTTTAATGGGGAAAAGATGGGTAAATGTAAGGTTTCCCTGTCATGTCCACAGACAGGGTGCTTTGTAGGTCAGGTGACTTGCCTGATCATTTACTTCCAGGCCCTTTTCAAGTTTGCTCTCAAACTTCAGTGGAAGTGCTGCCACGCCTTGCCCTCCTACTCCTTCCCCTCTTCTCAGAGGATAATAGTAGTAATAGAAGAGTTTACTGACACTTGATATAAGTTAGTCAGGCTAATAACTTAGTTTAAATATATATGTACACATCTATTTTACAGGCAAGGAAACTCAGGCTTGGTAAAGGACAAGATTTAAGACTCAGACTTTTGTGCGTGTATGTTTCACAGCAAAGCTGTGCTTTCAACTGTTGCAAAGTATCCGACAGTATAATTTTGTCCTTGAGAATTGGACTACCTAAGTTTGAATTCTGGGTATTTAACTTCTCTCCCAGTTCTAAAATATGCCTAATAGTGTGTCTTAGAGAATTTGTGTTCTGTTCGGAAAGACAAACATGCCAAGTAATTGCTGAATGATATAATAGAAATTATAGATTTAAATAGATTATAGTGGAGTGAAATATACTTAAAATTTCTACTTAAAATTTTTCTTTCCAAGTACATAGCAACTTCTCAAGTTTCTATGCCAAGAACTGGACTTCTCCTCCAGTTTTGTCAAGATACTGGCCTTCTGACTTTGATCTTGGTTTCTTCTCCATGCTGAACTCTATGATTAGTTACTGACAACACCTCAAATACTTTATCATCATTATCCTTTCCAGGCTGTACCTCTTATCCAGTACTCAGCAGTTTTGAGAATATGCTGTCTGTATTCCCAGCTTTGGATGCTGGTGGGAATTGGCACCATCATTTATGGATTCCACCACGGCCGTCCTTTGATGCTGATCTTCTGTCATTTTACTTGTCCATAGTTGGCTGCTTTGTGCCATTTCTTTGAGGGTGTTGCCAGATAATTATGGCTCTCTTCTTACCATTAAGATGTTACGGTGACTTTTCGTTTTACAAATTAAGGCTTCCTGTTAGCTGGCATCTGTTAGACTTCTTGCTAAAAATAAAGTAACCTCGACCTCTGCAGCATCTTACCTTTTGATTCTTACCCTCTTTCAAGGTTGTCCCCTTCCATAGCATTTCTACCCTTTACTGGTTCTTCACTGTTTCCTTTTATACATTTTCTTCTTGACTCTCCTGTCGCTGTACTTTCTTTCTGGGAGATTGTATTCACTGTGGTGGCTTCATGTGTGAACTACATACCAGCAGTCCCCACTCTTGCTCCCCAGATTTGTCTCGGGAACTACAGATGGGAATTTCCAACACCCTATTGAACACTTAGAGCCAGGGACACTTCAGAATTCCCATTTATCAAACAGAATCTGTTAATCTATACCCACTTCTCCCAGAACAAAAGATACAGTTAGCAAGTCTTTTCCATCTTCCCTCCTACTATCTTCTATTACCTCCTTTTCAGTGTGTCAGCCTTTTTTTCAAGTTTGTTTTGTCTCAGTGCTTTCTAATCCTTTCTCTATTCCACCACTAAAAGGGAAATTAATTGAATGTTTTAAAAACCTAAAGATCTCTCATTGCTTTTTTGTCTAGATTGAAAATCCAGATTCTTTAGCGCTGTGTTTTTCTAGAAGGAGGTTTGGATAAAATTAAATGATGATCTTTTCCCAATTCTCAAAGAGAAGGATTTTATTTATTTATTTATTTACATTTAATTCCGCCCCCCCCCAGGTCTCTTAAAAATTTTACCACTTTTATTATCATCTATCACAGAGTGATATTTGAATTAACTTAAACTTTTGGAATTAGTATGTAAGTTTACAAATGTCACATTTTCAAGGGGTTTGATAAGGCTTTCACACCTGGCCTCTACCCACTGTGTCCCCTTTCCTCACTGGCATGGCACACTTTTGAATTTTAAAGAATTGTTTCAGTTCCCAACTGCCATGAACTGCAACACACTGGGCAAGACATTCACAGTGGTTTTAAGAATCTTCTTACCTTTCTGGTTTATGAGGATTAAATGAAGCAGTGCACATCAGATGCTTAGTTCTGGCAGGTAGTAAATATTCAAGAAGTATTGGCTGCTGTTTTGTTGTTGCGTCTACCTTATTCCTCAGCATAAATCTCCATGTACTGGAATGTGCAGGGTCTCTGGTGTTTTTATATGTACCACTCCCAGATACTGGAATCCCTTCTTCTTTCCTCTTCCCACTTCCTGTGTCTGCTCCTCTTCCTTTTGAATTTAACTCTCAAGAAATTTTTCCTAACGTATATAGTTAACCCTTGCACAACAACATGGGTTTGAACTGCATGGTTCCACTTAATATGTGGATTTTTTTTCCAATAAATGGAGTACAGTACAGGATTTTCCTTGTGATTTTAATAACATTTTCTTTTCTCTAGTTTACTGTATTATAATAATCCAGTATATAATACATATACAAAATATGTGCTAATCGACTATGGTATTGGGAAGGCTTCTAGTCCAAAGTAGGCTCTTAATAGTTAAGTTTGGGGGAAGTCAAAAATTACATGCACATTTCTGACTGTGCAGGATGCTGGCTCTCCCACCTTTCACATCATTCAAAAGTTAACTGTAGTTCTTTGTCACCCTTCCCCTCCTTGACACAAATAGTCCCTTAGTGGTGCTTTTTGTTCCTACGACTGAGTCATGTATTTTATTACAATTTGTTTTCCAAGCTCTTGTCTTCACTGGACTTTTAAGCTCCTTGTCAGCAGTAGGGATTAATTCTCAAGCTATTGGATCTCAGTGTTACTTGCCCTGCCTCACAGCCAGCAGGTTTTCAGTAAGTAACCGCACATGCTGCCATCTAGATTATCTCATTTAATCCCCACAACCACTCTGTGTTGGGTCTGCTTATTATTTGACTTGGGTGAGGTGAAATGATTTGTCCCAAGCCACTTTCTACATGCTAGAAGTCTGGAACTCCCTACATTTAATAATGTAGTTACTGCATAGCTGTCCTCCTAATACATTTGTCTTATATTTACAGTATAAATAAAACAGCATTTAATGCATTAAAAATGCTTGTTGATTGTTTTTGCTTTAATTTCATAATGCGTAAAACATCTAAAGAATTGGAACTCTGCAGATTCAGAATTGTTTGATCTGTGTAGACCTTGTATACTCTTGTATTGCTTAGCAAAATAATTGAGAGAATAAATATATTTCAGACAGTGGAGTTTTTATGCAGCTTATGCATAATAGGCAGTTTGTATTTCAAAGAATTAACATTATTTTTTCCCAAAATTTAGTTTTTCACTCATTTGAATTAACCTTCATTAAATTTTGTTATGTCTTTGGTAACATCCTCCAGGGTAATTGTGTGTTTGTGTACACATGATAACCTTTTCATAGTCTTCATATAAGGCTGTTAATTTTCAGAACATATAATAATAGTACATGTAATAAGTTTGGGTGACCTAATGATTTGTTATGGCCTTGTATTCATTGCAAAGTACTGATCCTAGTAGGTGGGGAGATGGCACTGGTGATGGTGGGAATTAGATTATTAAATATAAAAGTGTTGCATGTCATTTTACAGACAGTTGAAAGTAAAGTAAGCAATGTATATAATGATTCTAGTTATTCTTTAGAAGTTGTAATTGTGATTTAATTCAGTTATATCATAAATTCCAGGAATGAGGGACAGTTTCCACTACTACTACTACTACTACTACTACTACTACTACTACTACTACTTCTTCTTCTTCTTCTTCTTCTTCTTCTTCTTCTTCTTCTTCTTCTTCTTCTTCTTTTTCTTCTTTCTTCTTTCTTCTTCTTCTTCTTCTTCTTCTTCTTCTCTTCTTTTTGACAGTTTCTTCTTTTAAAGGATAAAATATGGAGTTGAAGATGAACAGTATTTATGGTCCCATTGTATAATATTCTTTAAATTTAGTTACTGGATTTGTTCTGCTTGTTTTCATTTTTATATTTGCTTACTTAAAAATATATTTAATCATTCTTTTCATCACAGAGCATAGTAATATTCTAAATCTTACCCCTGTAATAGTAATATTTATATTTTATTTTAGGGAAGCTATGCGAAATTACTTAAAAGAGCGAGGGGATCAAACAGTACTTATTCTTCATGCAAAAGTTGCACAGAAGTCATATGGAAATGAAAAAAGGTAAGATTATTGTTTTTCTAATGGGTAGTTAATTGTAGCTATCACATGATTTTGCAAGTGATGTATTAATATACAAGTTAAAGGGTGGTTTCTTTTATTGGGTTGGTTTCCAAGTACAAAGTGAAAAATAGGGGCTTTGTCTCTATTGAAGGGGAGAAACAAAGTGAACTGTGGCATATTTAGTAAAGATCATCTGGCTAGATCTCTGATGTCATGAAAGGAAATAATCCATAGTTTGCTGGGATGGGAGGCGGCCTACATGATATTCCCTTAAGTATTTCTGTGGTGCATTAGCTCATTCAAAAAATAGCTCTCCTTTTGGTGGAAAATGTAGTTTTATAAACATGTGACCCTCCCCCAAAGTACTTTTGAAAAGGAGAAGGCTAAAATAAATACCTGAATTGAACCATGGAGTGATTATAAAGTGACTATAAAGCTCTCCACTTTGACCCTGTGCTTACTCAGGTTAAGAAAAATGGCAACACTGAGTTGGTACTCAGTCTGTCCTCACACACTACAGAACTAACCTGGAAGTTGGATTCACAGAATTAAAGTATAACAAAGTGATCTTCATATTTAGTATTTGCTGCAGTATCTTATGAATTTCAGCATTTGGGGTATATAATTATGGACTTTAGCTATTTGTTTTTTCATTTGGTTGCTGGAATTTTCTTGTCTTTGAGACTTCTTTGAGACTGCATTAACTATTTCGTGGACGAAGGCTGCTTGCAGGGGAAGATGAAAGATTTTTTTGGATTGTGCAGAAAGTCCCCAAACTGAAGTGTGAGAAGGAATGAAAATTCAGGCTTGAGTGCTGGGTTGAAAGAGATGACTGGTATTTTAGAGTTTATGAGATAAAGGAAAACTTAACATAATGCATAAGAGGAGCGAAATATAACTGCGATTAATATCTATGCTAGAAGAAAGTTGAGAGGTCTCTTTCTTAAAGTCCTCTCAATCCAAGCTGAGATGCATGGTGAAGCTGTTTAATTAATAACTTTATCCTCAAATAGGATGAGCAAATGCAAGCAAGATTTAGGACTCATTCTGCCAAAGTGTTTGTTCTTATTCCTATTGAAGCTCACTAAACTTCTGATTATTTTATCTTCATTTATTAACAAAACTTAGCAATCTGATTTAGAATTAAATATGGGAAGAGGTTGGTATCTACAGTTTGGGACAGAGTCAAGTCAAGATAGTGGCTCCTTTTTTTTTATGAAGTCGATACTGGATATTCTTTTTTTATTGTTTTAATAATGAAACTGAATGTGTGTACATGTGTAGAGCAGATTGTTGGAGAAACAGAACAAGTAAACACCCTCAGTATTTGATGAGTCCAGTAGGCCAGCCTTGCACCTCATAATAAACCGGAAGAAGAAACACTTGCCTTTTATTCAGTTCCTGACTTGGACCAGACTGGAAATGCCTTACAGATATTTTAAAATTTTAATCCTCAGAATAGTCTTGTAAAGTCAGCATGTTACAATCCTCATTCTGTTACTGAGGAAACTAAAGATCAGAAACTTTAAATATCCCCAGGTTCCTCTTAGTTTAGGAGTCGGTGGAGCCAGGATTAGAACTGCTGGGACTGTAACTCCAAATTTCATATTCTTTTTATTGCCCAAATTTTCATAGCTTTTCATTGTGTATCTGAGTGTTGGTCACACAGAGTAAGGCTTGAAGATGGAGGAGGTAAAGATGCCTTGAAAACACAAAGTTTGGGGCACCTGGGTGGCTCAGTGGGTTAAGCCTCTTTCTTCGGCTCGGGTCATGGTTTCAGGGTCCTGGGATCAAGCCCCCGTAGCAGGCTCTCTGCTCAGCAGGGAGCCTGCTTCCCCTCTCTCTCTGCCTGCTTCTCTGCCTACTATGTGATCTCTCTCTCAAATAAATAAAAAAATCTTAAAAAAAAAAAAAAAACCCACAAAGTTTGTGAACTTTGCCTTAGGTCATGAAGCTGATGGTAAAGCATCAGCTGAGTGAGCCTGGGCTGCATCTGATGGAAATGGGAGTAGATGTGTGTTTACTGCAGCGATGGTGTTCTTGCTCTGGGATTTTGAAGATGCATTTTGGTACAACTGGATTCATTCATTCATTCATTTTTTTCTTTATTTTGGTTAGCAAATTAGGTGCCAGGTACTGTGCAAAAGGATCTTTCCTGGGAATTTGGGAAGTTGTTATGTCATTTAATACTGGATAACTGAGGCCCTGTGGGGAAAGCACAAAAGAACAACTACTTAAACAGTTATGCCTAAGTCCAAATAAGGTTCCTGCTTGTTATTTACTATTGAAAATAAATGAGGGACACCTGGGTGGCTCAGTTGGTTAAGCCAATGCCTTCAGCTCAGGTCATGATCCTAGGGGTCTTGGGATTTAGCTCCATATCAGGCTCCCTGCTCAGCGGAGAGTCTCCTTCTCCCTCTCCCTCTCCATCTGCCTGCCAGTCAGCCTACATGTTCTCTCTCTCTCTCTCTGTCAAATAAATAAAATCTTTAAAAAAGAAAAGAAAAGAAGTGAGTACAAAGCTGTAGTGGCTCTTCAAGTAGGTGATTTAAAGGTTACCCTTCGTTGTGATTGCCTTCTTTTTCAGTTCCTCTTTATTTGGGTATGGTCTGGCCTGTCTAAAACAGGAGATAAAGGAGATGCTAAGCTTCTAGCTTCCAAAGACTGAAGACATAATAATGAAAAGGCCAGAGTAACTATTTTCCTTTATTTTTTATGTTTGTATTATTAAATTATTAAATGAAATTTTTTATTAAATTATTAAAATTTCAGAGTAGACATGGATTCATTTTACATACAAAGATGGAAACCTATTAGAATTACTTGGTTTTTAAAAAGGATTAGCAGTAAGGGACTGCTCATGAGGTTCCAGTCTCCTGGATGAAGTCTGTCCCTTTACTCACTGGTGGCGTACATGGTGGAAAGAGTAAGATCTGCCGCCTTTCTTGTTGATCCAGATTCAGGCCTTTCTGAAAAGCTACTAAGGCATTAAGCACAAGGTAACCTGGGGACATCACCACAGTCTTCTTGGCATATAAAATAACTCCAGAGAATGATGCTAGAAATACTAGGTCAGAAAAATTTATCCTCAAATTTTAAATTGTCCTTGATATTAACTTTGCTGCCTAATAACGAATCTTTATTTTTTTTATCCCACTGATGTTAGTGATTAGTTTTACTTTTTCATTAAAGAAGGTTATTCTAGGTTTAAAAAAATGGACTTTTAAAAAGATGGTTTTGTCTAGAGGAAAATTTTCATTAAAGGTGGGGAAACTACAGTTGACGTATTAGTGTTCAACTTTGTGTCAGCGGAAGTCTTTAAGCAGTAATGGAGGTGGTAGAGATACTGTTGAGGCGACAGTAAAACCGTGTAGACAATGAGGTGATGCTCCTCAAGTCATACTGAGAATGCGTGTTAATTGAGGTAACTTTGGTGTGCAAAAAAGTTTCTATTTTGGTGCTTTTGGATTGAATAATTATCAAAGGATAATGATTCTGCAAAGGTCAGATAACGTAAATGATGTTTGGATTTTGTCTAACCTAACCTATTTTGTGTATTGAGCTGACTAAAAAGGCTTCTTTGAGTCTGTAAGGTATTTTCCAGACCTCATCTCAGGGTTTGAGGAAAAAGTTCTTGAATCATTCTTTTGAAAATAAAGACTGATTGTTTAAACTAGGAAATGAATAACATTGTAAATGTGTGCATATTGCCACCAAGTGGCAGAAGGACAGCATTGTTTGTCATAGTTGCTAGTTAAGAGCCATAGGAAATACTAGAAAATCAAGGCACATTGTTTCATAGTGTAATCTTTTATAGCAGCTGCTAAACTCTGCAAGCTGGCCACTTGCTAGTCAAATTTTTCACTGTGTGTTTGGTATGTATTGACCAGTTGCCCAAATTCAAAAAATCATTGATCGCACACGGCATTATAAGGTGTATTTTTTCTTCTGTTAATTAGGTGGCCTTTTTTTTAATCCTCACTCCCTTTAATTTCTTTTCTTTTGTCTGTGTTCTTTTGTAGTGTTTATGCTTATCTTCTATTTGATGATTACTGAGGTCTAGAAATACAAACCTGACTCATTAGCTGTTTCCTAAGGGGTGGCAATATTGGGATGTTTAAAATATAATTTCATCAACACATTATATAGAAATAGTCTCTTTAGATTGTATTGGATTTGTTGTTTTCTTATATCATGACTTCTTTGAATTATAGAGTTGATTAAAAAAACAAGGCTAGTTTAGAGGCATTTGTGAAGAGTCTTCTTTTTTTCTTATTTATTACTTGATTGGAAAGCACTTTCAATATAGAATCTTTTTTTTTTTTAAAGATTTTATTTATTTATTAGTCAGAGAGAGAGAGGGAGAGCGAGCACAGGCAGACAGAGTGGCAGGCAGAGGCAGAGAGAGAAGCAGGCTCCCTGCTGAGCAAGGAGCCCGATGTGGGACTCGATCCCAGGACGCTGGGATCATGACCCGAGGCGAAGGCAGACGCTTAACCAACTGAGCCACCTAGGCGTCCCTCAATATAGAATCTTGGTCCGAGTTTTAAGTGATAAATAGCTTGTCATCCTAATTTTATACCTTGTTTATGCCATTTTATCACAGTACTCTTGAGAAAACCAGCACTACCCAATCTTGTACAGTTTTAGCCCTCTTTATATTTTTCAGATATGAAATAAAAGTATCCTTTAAAAAAAATTTCTTTTAAGATTTTGTTTATTTATTTGACAGAGATCACAAGCAGGCAGAGAGGCAGGCAGAGGGGGAGGGGGAAGCAGGCTCCCCACCGAGCAGGGAGCCAGATGCGGAGCTCGAGCTCGATCCCACGATCCTGAGATCATGACCTGAACCGAATCCAGAGGCTTAACCCACTGAGCCACCCAGGTGCCCCTAAAAGTTATCTTTTATGATAACTTGAGATTTGAATTCCACGACTGGTACACTTTACTAAAGCACCGCTCTTTGAATTCTATAGCTGGTCAGTTTGCTAAGGAGTCTTAATATCCGTGTTCAATAGAAAACACTAATAGGAGACAATTTTCCTAAATTGATTCCTTCTCAACTCCCACTAGTGTGCCAGCTAGGTATTTGAGTCTGTGCCATAGTAAGCATTGGGTGGCTCCCAGCATTAGAGGTCAGAAAGATCCCTGGTGTAGACGTGAATTGAGCCAACTCCTGAACTAGTCGGCTAATCCAGGCATCCCTCCAAACTTGGAGTGACCTGGAGCTGAGCCCACTATCTCGGCTGTGACCTCTGTGTCCATGGCCACAGTGAGAGTATGCAGGCATGAAAGCGGCTCTGCTTCCTTTTTACTGGTTTAGATAAATATGGGAAGACTTGAAAGGCTTCCCTCCTTACTCCGCTTGACCTCCAGGCCCTACTTGGTCTACTTCCCCATTATCCAGGCTTCATCTTCTCTTCTCAGCTACAGCCACACTGCTCTGTGTTTGTTTAGACACAGTCCATTTTAGTCCTTTCTACTATTGAGCTTTTCCACTTGCTCTTGTCTCAGCTGAAATGCTCCCACACAGCTACCCGTGGTTTTAGATTGTGACTCAGGGTCACCTTTTTAAGGAAGCTTTCCATGGCCACCCAGGTCTTCTACATTTTAAGTACCCCTTATCTGCTTAATTTTTTCCCTCAGTGTTTATCACCAGCTAACAGAATATATAAGCCATTTTACACATTTAGGTTTTTTTTTAATTGTCACGCCTGTTAGAGTGTGAATTCCATCAAGACAGGAATTTTTTTTCCCCCTACTATATTCCCAGTGCCTGATACAGTAGGAATACAGACCAGGGATGTAATAATTTAGTGAATTAATGAATGTTACATAAACCCAGCTCACTTCTTATAATTTAATATAAATTGCTCCTAAAGTAGTCTTTAGAGTTGAACAAAAAGTGGATATTATTTAATTTTGATTCGATTCAGTCAGTATTGTAGTGGGTACTAAGGGGAGAAAGCAAACAAGAAGGAGATACTAACTACCTTTAGGAAAGGCTGAGGCCAAATCTAACCTGGTGTTGTCCATGTGTCACATATGCACAAGTAGGCACGTGTACACATTTTTTGTTGTTGTTTTCTTAAGCCTGTGTGCTGTTGGCCTGCAAAGTGTTAAAAAGCATAAATTCGTCACTAAATTTTTAAAATTGGGAATCTCATCTAAAATTTGATTTCAAGCATCTGTTGAACAGTTGGAGGATGTGACTCTAGGCCCACATGCAGGTAGTTTGGCAAAGTGATTGAGAGGGTGTGTACTCACAGGCTTGCTAGTCTCTGTTGTGCCTTATTATCTATCATCCAAGTCACACACCAGTGGCTGATTGTCATTGCGTTTAGGATCCTCTTTTTCTTAGAGTGGGCTTAAAAGAATTAAGAAAAATTTTCCTTTATTCATAACTATACAGCAAGTGGGAATTACCATGAGGGCTATGTGTTTGAAGAAAGGAGGGAACCTACTTCTTTGAGTAATTACATGATACTCCAACTTACTTATGTACACCTGGTTCACCCACTAAATTTCTTACCTGGCTACTGTTTGAGTTTACTTAGCTACTATTTGAGTATGTATTTGAGTTTTCGGGCCTCTGGATAAGACATGGTGTAAATGTTTTAAAGTGTACATAAACCAGTGTGTATAACTGAGCGAAAGCAAGTTATGCTCTGCATAAGGACTGGATTGGTAGTCTGAACTGTAAAATAAGGGGCTTGACCTAGGCTCTGAAATAGACTTTTCTTAATTGCTAGAAATGAGATAGCAGTTGTCTCCCGCATGGCACAGGTTCAATCTTCAGGCTCTACTTCTATGCAGATTTTTTTCAGTTAATATAGTTAATATGGTATAGTCTTACGAATTTTTTTTTTTTTTAAGATTTTATTTATTTGCCAGAGAGAGAGAAAGTACACACAGGCAGGCAGAGAGGCAGGCAGAGGCAGCGAAAGAAGCAGGCTCCCTGCTGATCAAGGAGCCCAATGCGGAACTCGATTCCAGGACCCTGGGATCATGACCTGAGCCGAAGGCAGCGGCTTAACCAACTGAGCCACCCAGGCATCCCGAATGTATTTTTTTCTTAAGATTTTTCTTAGTAGGGACGCCTGGGTGGCTCAGTTGGTTAAGCGGCTGCCTTCGGCTCAGGTCATGATCCCAGCATCCTGGGATCGAGTCCCACATCGGGCTCCTTGCTCGGCAGGGAGCCTGCTTCTCCCTCTGCCTCTGTCTGCCTGTGCTCGCTCGCTCTCCCTCTGTCGCTGACAAATAAATAAAATCTTTAAAAAAAAAAAATTAAAAAAAAAAAGATTTTTCTTAGTAATACTTTCTTTGGTCTAGCTTTATTGTAAGAATACAGTATATAATACATATAACATTCAAAATATGTGTTGACTTTATGTTAATGGTAAGGCTTCCTGGTCAACAGTAGGCTATTAGTAAAGTTTTGGGAGAGTCAGAAGTTAGACATGGATTTTTTAACTGCATACAGAGTTGGTACCCCTGACCCCCAGAGTGTTCAAGGGTCAACTGTATAAGGAAGTTAATCTAGGTGGGAAGAATTTTTGAAGGCAGGCTTTGGGCAGCTAGCAAAACAAATCCGTTGGTAATGTGAGGTGAAAGGGCACAGTGCATTGTTCTTTCAGTCATTCACTTGCACCAGGTGTTCAGGGTATAAAATACATAAAACATAGGAATTCAGTATCCATTTTCCTTTTAATTCTTCTACTTTTATTATTATTTTGGAAGTTTCTACTTTGGATGTTGCTCTAATTCTTTTTTCCAGGTTAATTACCAAATGAAGTTAAGTGTAATAGCCATAACTATAATGCCATCAATTAATAATATGTCATTTTTAAGTAGATCTTAAGTTATAATTGCAGATTCTTTCCTGGTGTATCATCTTCTGCAACCCTTTAGACTTTGTTGGATTTATTGAATTCCAATAGTTCAGAATTCTGAGCTCCATTAAAATGAAAGGAATGCTCCCTGCTCAAAGAAGTATCTGTTGTAATTGAGGACATAATTTGAGTATAGACAAACCTTTACTGAACATGTGTAGTCTTTGTGAAAGCCTTGATTTCTGCGCTCTGTACATGACTATTTGCATTACAGAAGGCTTCACCAGAATGTTTCATTAGGAGATTATTTAACGCAGTTCAGTATAATTTTGTATTCATACGTTCGAAGAAAAGAAATGCTTTCTTAAATCTAATAGCATTGTTTGTTTTTGTATTTGTGTGGTATGTATATGTGTGTGTTTCCCCCATTGGTTCAGGTTTTTTTGCCCTCCTCCTTGTGTGTATCTTATGGGCAGTGGATGGAAGAAAAAAAAAGAACAAATGGAACGGGATGGTTGTTCTGAACAAGAGTCTCAACCATGTGCATTTATTGGAATAGGAAATAGTGACCAAGAAATGCAGCAGCTGAACTTGGAAGGAAAGGTAAATTAAAACTATGTTGTTTCTCTTAAATGGCACCATGGTACCAACGTGTGTAGTTTCCTTATTTGTTTTCGTGGTGATGATTTTTTTTCTTTTATGGCTTTCGGTAGTGATTTTCTGAAACACCACCCACCAGAGATAAACTTCTCAAATAGCTGTGGGCTAGTCGTGAGCTGTGGACATCTAAAGGTAGCCCATAGTAAGCTTCCACAGCTTGGGGGCAGTTTTAGCAGGCTATAAATCAGGTTTCCATTGGAAGCCAATAAAAAAATTAAGGAGGCTTACCTGTCATCTGACTGACAGGGAGGAGACCTGATATTCAACAAACAGTGAAAATACATAGCTCAATAGTATTTTACTCTCTCTTAATCTTAGTCTTATACGAGAAGCAAAGTGATAGAGATTAATTCTTAGAAGTATTTATCTGTGTTTATAAAGATCATAAATGTTTTACTTAGCTTCTGTGTAGAGCAAAACTACAATAGACAAGAACAGCCACAATAAGCTTGACTCATACTTTTAGGAGTTTTCTTTAATTTGTTAGGGAATGGAATTTATGTATTAGTTTTACTAATTATATTTTATGAAATTATAAAGTAATCGTTTCAGTCTATACCTTTAGTGTTCAGAAATAGTTCTTATTGACTTAGCATTTAACTATTATTTTGTTTTCCCTTGATATTAAAATTTGAAAAATAGTTCTCAACGATCACATGAATGTCTTAAAACAGTATGTAGGAAGCTGTTTCTGCATTTATTAAGTCTTCACTGAATATCTTAGTGTTTGCTGTGTTAAAGTTGGCAGTATGGATGGGACTGGCAGGTAACATTGTGAGGAGCTAGGGGATTTGTACACTCCAGTTCAGTTTTAGTCATTTTACAGATAATACGCAGAACGCGCACCAGAAGCCTTAATAACAACCACCTTCAAATATTTTTATGACATTTGTATCTTTATAATTTTTGCAGTAAGCCTTGTCACTTAGGTATTTTTTAATTAGGTTTGCAATAAAACATTACAATAAAGGTGGTTTCATTTTAAAAAGAAAATAGAGCCGTACGAAATATTTCTAAGTTATGACCCTTGTGCCGCAAAGTATGTATTTAAGTGGTAGGCTGATCCGATAGGCCTTAGCTGTGTCTCACCTATTTTCCTGTTCTTTAGAAAGTTTCAGTTACACGTCTCCAGGCTGTGCATTTAGATACATGGTGCTATGAAGTGACTACTTAGGTAGGGAGTGAGAAGACAGGGACTGTAGCTACCAGTGTATATGACTGTTAACTGAATTTCATTGCCTGCTTTAACCAATTCCAGCTTCCAGCATTTTAGGGGAAGTAATACCAAACAAACACACCCCACTTGCCTTTTCCAGCATCATGGTTCGGTAGATCTTTCTTCAACTTACACGACTGTATTCTTTCTCCAAGCCCTAAAAATTCACACAAGATGAAAAAAATACCTGAAAGCCTTATATTAACTAGTATTTAAAGCATCTACTAATGGGGTGGCATAATATCTATAAGCCACATTTACCTGTTAATATTAGTTTTAATGAAAAATGCTATTAGAGAAGTCTTGCTTACTTTGTATAAAATAAGACTTGTTGAGAGTCAGCAGAAGCCATTCCAGGTGGAAGGAACATCCTATATGCTTGGAGCCTAAACGTATATGAACGTGGTAGGTGTGGGCCCAGGTAGGCAAAGATGGCCTGAGCAGTGTGACACTGAGCTTCAGAGAGAGGCCCTTTGCTCTTGCTGTCTCTCTTCACCTCAATTCATTTAAGGTAATAACTCTTTTCTTTTCAATAGTCTGCTCATTGAATGGTTCAGTTAGTCATTATTCAAAAAGAAGGGATATTTGTTTTGCACTATTGGGTATTTGTACTAATACTCATTACAGTAAAGTTCTGGTATATGTAGCATTAAATATGATCATGACATTTGACTCTGTGTTGATAATATTTTGGATCCGAGATTTCACTTAATCATGTTTGAAATTTGTTAAATGTTCATTTCCTCAATTTTATATCTTACGTAGTTGGAACTAGGTAAGCTATACAACAGGAATTCATCCCTACTTAGCCCATTTGTGTTTTTCTTACTTTCAAAAAATTACATCCCCTACACCTCTCTTGCTAGTACTGTTTGTATAATTCATACATTTCTATAGTATTTTTGTAGTATTATATCTGGTATTTCTCATTTCTGGGCAAATATTTTTACTATGGTCTGAAGATCTTGTCTTTCAACAGTTGTTCTTAAGTTAAATTGTTTATTATTTATAGAAAGGTTTCTTTTTGCCATTTTCTATTCTAGAATTTTGTTAACTAATCTAGCCTTTTAGTATGACGAATGTAACTTTAAACTTTACTTTGTTTTCCTAAAGCCGTAATACTTTTTTTTGAGGAGTGACTCCCCGTCCCTCCTTTTTAGTGGGATTTGAGTAGTTTGTGGGCAGTGGTCTTACAGTTGTTTTTTTTTAAGATAATTGTTCTGATAAAGTTATCCTAGATATTATTTTTTTTTTTTTGTGGATTCAGACTGCTCACTTTTGTAAAAAAAAAAATAGGGATACGTTTTCCTTTTTTTTCAGAGGGTTATATGTGTGTTCGCTTTTTCCAAACAAAATAAAACCTTTTGTGTGAAAGTCTTTTTCGCATGAGAATTTAATTGTCTTCATTTAGATGCACAATTCATTTTTGCAGCCTATAACTATCTGCTTTAGTATGTTGATAATCTATTTTCCTAGACTTTGTCTTTTATGGTGCAGTACAATTTCATAGCTCAGGCTTAATCTAACCTTCAGTGCCTTTTATTGTATGGCAGACCTGTAGGTCCTGCCATAGCATCTCCGAGCACTTAGAGAACCCTGAGTAGAAGGCGCTGTATGAGTGCGAAGTACTGTTTTTATTTTTCTTTTTACTAACTTTATCTTAATTTTGTTTTCTGCAGAACAAAGCTTCTCAAAGCTTTTACCACACTTCTGAATTTATGAAAACTTAATTTGAGTGTAAAATATTCACATGGCAACTACGTTTTCTTATGTAACTTTGCTATTGAGAAATGAAATAAACTGCGGTATTATTTTTGTTCTGCTACTAAAATTGCCTGTGATTACAATTTTATTTTACTTTATTTCTTTTTTTAAAGATTTTATTTATTTATTTGACAGAGAGAGATCACAAGTAGGCAGAGAGGCAGGCAGAGAGAGGAAGGGAAGCAGGCTCCCTGCCGAGCAGAGAGCCCGACACGGGGCTCGATCCCAGGACCCTGAGATCGTGACCTGAGCTGAAGGCAGAGGCTTTACCCCACTGAGCCACCCAGGTGCCTCTGTGATTACAATTTTTAAAAAATTTAAAAGCTAGACTACATTAGCTGTTTCATAAATGAGTGGCACTTTTCCTGATTTTTAGAAGAAACACACAGTAGACGTTGTCAAAGAAACTTCTTTAGCCTAATTTTAAGCTACAGCATTGATCTTTTAAAAAATATAATAGATATTTTAAATACTTAAGCTGTGTTTTGAGCATCGTTTACCCAGTCTGGAAAAAGAGATCAGTAATTTAGTTCCATGCCTAATTCATACAGATCAGGGGAATAGGAAAGATTTTAGAATTGTCACATATATTTGAGATGGTTGCATTGAGAGTGTCTTTAGCCAGTGCTATACCTCTGTATATAATATAATAACTGTATATAATTCTGTCTTTTCAGTTATCAGAATTTATTTTCTGGTAAACTGGCATCATAATTTGCTGCATTTGTTTTCTCTGTTAACTTTCAATCCAGTTTTTTTGTTTTTGTTTTTGTTTTTGTCTGTTTGTTGAGTAAACACTGCCCCCAATATGGAGCTTGATCTCATGTTGATCTCACAACCCTGAGATCAGGAGTTGCACACTCCTCTGACTGAGCCAGCCGGGCACTCCCTTAGTCCAGTTATTTTGATGCTGTAATATGAATTACCCCACAGGCAAAGTCAGCCGTTTCTTTTAATAAGAAGTTCTTTAAAGTATGCTCCTACTTAAAAGACTTAAAAGCCATTGCTCTAGTGTTCAGCTATATAAAGAAAAATACTGTATGTACTGTTTTCAAAAGGACCAGTGCTAAAATCTTTTACAGAATTTTGTTGAATTCTGATAGCCTTATTTGTATGTTTTCTTTGCAGAAATACAGTCATGGACTATTTTAACTATAAAATTCTATTTTAAATATTTACTGCTGTAGCATTGGTAATTCTGTGATAAAGGCATAGAGCTATATAAAACAAGATAAAACTGTGTTTTGAAACAATCTTAGGGTAAAATGGATCACAACATTAGTATTTGACAGACTTGATAAAGACGACAGACTGTACTTCGTCTTTCAGTGATTGTTTAAGTTGGTTTTATCAGTTATTCATTGAATTCATTCATTGAAAACTTAGTCTTGGCCATACTAAGATGTAAGTATGTAACCAACAAGGTTTTGGTGCTATTGAAGCTTTACTTTTTTTTCACAGAACTATTGCACAGCCAAAACATTGTACATATCTGACTCAGACAAGAGAAAGCACTTCATGTTGTCTGTAAAGATGTTCTACGGCAACAGCGATGACATCGGTGTGTTCCTCAGCAAGCGGATAAAAGTCATTTCCAAACCATCCAAAAAGAAGCAGTCATTGAAAAATGCTGACTGTATGTATGCTTGAGTTTTCTTTTTTGCCACCAATTCCCATCATAAATTAATAAGACAGATTCAGCTATTTTTTTTTTAGTTAAAAAAATCACTTTTTGAGAGCAAGTTCATTTTTACTAATGTTTTTGTGGCCCTCACTTTATCAGAAACTGTCACACTCGTGTATTTTTGCTACTTTATAGACTTCCTTTTTGTTTCTTTGTTTGTTTTTTCCTTTTTCTTTTTTTAATTGAAGTGAACAAGACCTGGTCTAGGGAAATAGTTCCCAACCAGACTGGGTTCTTCACTGCTCCGCAGAGACATAGGGAAAAATGGGAGTTTTTTCCTTTTGCTGTCAGTGACTGCAGGGAGTGATTGATTGTGGCACGGGGTGTGTTGGGCCAGTGATGCTAAATGTTCTCTTTCTCATTCCATGGAGAATTGATCCACCAAGACTGTCAAAAGCTCCTCTTTGAGAGACACTATTCTCAAATGGGCTTTGGAAGGCCATCCTGCAAACCGAAACAAAACTTTTAACATGGTTCTCTGGCAAAGACTCCTGCTCATGAGCAGATTTTTAGACTACCAAATATAAATGCTGTCTGATTAAATTACGCATTTCAACCCTTACATGCCATTTTCTTTTTTTAGTTCTAACTTTTTATGATGAACACTTTCAAATTGCTACTACTTTCTCCCTTTTACATCAAGTGACCGTGCACCTGGCCTCAACAGGTTTTGCCAGTTCTCTTTCATTATTTCCATGGCCTCTTCCTTCTATTGATGGCTGGAATATTTTAATGGAAATCTCAGATATCCTGTTGTTTCAACCACCATTTCTGCAGTAGTGATTCTTAACAGATAGCTTTCTTTTTAAACATTAGTATGCCTAAAAAAGTTGAAGTAGTTCTTTAATGCCATCTGAAAGCCAGTCCATGTGCAGATTTATTATAGTTGCATTTTTGTGGGGTTTTTTCTTAGCATTTGGCCTGTTCAAACTTGGATCCAAATAAGATCGATACATTTTAATGTGTAACAGTGTATTCTCTCCCCCTCCAACCTTTCTTCCATGTCATTTGTTGAAGAAATGGGGTCGTTTTTCCTTTGGAATTTACATATTTTGAATCTGGCTGATTACATGTGCCTCTTTCATATTTTCAATAAACTGATGGTTAAATTTAAGACTTTAGAATTAGCTGGTCCTCTATATGTTCATTTCCTTCAAATCAGAAGTCCTATTATGTCTGATCATCCTACTTCTTGTCCTATTAAGATTATTTATAGTAAATTAAGCTGTTAGCTTAATCCATCTGTTACAGAGTTCCCCAGCAACCTTAACCATTGATAATGGCTGCTTCATTCCAGTATTTTATGAAGGGCTTTTTCTGATTCTTTTACTCTAAATTTGTTAGCAGTTTGTTTCAAATATAGTCTGCAGAGGAAAGGCAGGATAAATGCTTGTTTACTAATTTACAGAATAACAGTAGTATTCTTTGAAAGTGCCCAGTGAGGTGTTAGGAGTTTTGTTTGGTTTGATTGCTTTTGTTTTGTTTCATTTTTTTACTATGAACTTAATGGGTTTTTATGTATTGGTTGGTTTTCATTTTCTCAGTCATTATTACTATAATCATTTACTTTATATTATAGAAATTTTCAAACATCTTAGACAGTTGCATAATTACATGAAACCTCTTGTGTTTATCATCTGACTTCAGCAATGATCTTAACTGCAGGCCAGTTTTATTTCACCTGTACCCATCTCCTACCCTGCTTTCCTTGGCCTCAGTTTGATCCAAATCCAGACATCATCTGCAAATATGTATCTCTGATAGAGAGGGGCTTTTGTTTATTTAATATAATTACAATACCCTGATCACATAAAAACAAATACGTTATAAAAAACTATAAAAAAATAAAATTTCTTAATCTTGGGAAACCTGGGTGGGTCAGTTGGTTAAGCATCTGTCTTTGGCTCAGATCATGGGATCACAGTATACAGAGGATTTTATAGTCTACTTTTCCATTCTCTGGTCTTCTAGGGAGATACTTTCTTTATTGGTGCATTGAGGTACACATTATTCAAGTAGGTAAATGACATTATAATTTATTTACTCAATTTCCTACTATTGGATATTTATTATTTAAAAAATAATTTCCCTTTGCTGAACAGCATTGCGTGAAACATACTGTGTAGCTCTCATTTAAAAATTATTTATGGACATATCTTATATCTTTAGCATGACATTATTAATGAGAATTACCTTGACTTTTTTTTTTCCTTAGGGTATCAAGTTGTTAGTAGAATCTGTTAATTATTAAGTTATAATGAAGAATAATCATAACTTGCCAAGTACAGGTCCCTTCCCTCCAGTCACCTAAACAGAAGCTCTTTTTTCTTTGCAGTATGCATTGCCTCAGGAACAAAGGTGGCTCTGTTTAATCGACTTCGATCCCAGACAGTTAGTACCAGATACTTGCATGTAGAAGGAGGTAATTTCCATGCCAGTTCTCAGCAGTGGGGAGCGTTTTACATTCATCTCTGTGAGTACAGAAATGTGTATTTGATATTTTTAGTGTGAAAATTTTAAATTCTTTGATAAAAAGACATATAGCTGTATTAGTTTTGTTGTTTTCCTAAGTAGATTAATGAATTCTATAAGGTAATAATTTAATCTCTTTATTCACTCCACCATAGTGGATGATGATGAATCAGAAGGAGAAGAATTCACAGTTCGCGATGGCTACATCCACTACGGACAAACAGTCAAACTTGTGTGCTCCGTTACTGGCATGGCACTCCCAAGACTGGTATGGCTCTACTTTTGCTTTAGTCATATGTGTAGTAAAAATAAAAGATACAGCATTTAAATGTAAAAATACATTTCAGGTTCATGCTTTTTAATTTAAGAACGCTTATCAATAATCACTGCTATTCTTTATTTACAATTATATCCCACTTTATTGTGAAAATGATTTAAGGCAGTTAGCCGTTTTTATGACTGCATTCTTGATGACTTTCTGTTACACTGTCTCTAAATTTTGGTGGAGTTTTCCTTTTTAGTTGTATATCTGAATATATTCAATAGAGGGCACTAAATAATTACATTATGATTTCTTTCCTTAACTAATACAGATACCCTAATCATTTTCTCTGGTACCTGCTGTATCCCACCACAGGACCAAGTTTTAGAAGCATAGAAATTCTTACTTCTTTAAAAAATATAAGCATAGTTTTTATTAGTTTACTCTCCCACAAGAATATAGATTTATTGAAAATTAAATTGTTATTTCATACTCTGAGAGGGGCATGGTGTTTAGGGCTTTTTGTTCACTAGGATGACTTTAAAACTAAAAATTGCGTTTCTTAGTAAAATGAAAACAAGAGTACAATTTAGTTAAGATAGAGGGGATTTATGAGTAGCCCTAATTCAGGGTCAAGTTGGGGGCACACGGTGTTGGGCTGTATATCCAGTTTATCTCAGAAATATGGTAAATACTGTACCAACAAGCTACAAAGCTAGGATAGAGGAGAGAACACCAGTTGGGGTAATCCCTGATGTTTTATGAATGTAGAATTCACCACACACATAACTTAAGGTATAATGTTTGCACTACCTGTTATCAGATTTCTTACCTTTTCTCAATAATTAGAAGTGACCAGAGCAAGTTTTTTTTGTTTGTTTGTTTGTTTGTTTGTTTGTTTTCCCCCAGAGCAAGTTTTTGATGCCAAATACTAGTGAACATCTTTGGTTTCTTTACTGGTGAGAGGTCATTCAGCAGTGTCTATTTCCAAAGAACTCGTATGGGGAATAAAATTGAATCAGACATGTCTCATGTTCTCAATGTGCTTATTCTTAGCTAGTGGAGAAACAGTGGAATATACAAATAATAGTAATCTAGGCAAATTTTGACTCTTAGGTGATGGGGAAGCACGAGTATAGACTTAGAGGAAGCTCTAGACTTACATCATTTAAAAGTCATTGATTTCTCTAAAATCCAAACCTCATCAAATTTAAATGTAGTTCGAAGACTGGCATTGAATTGAAACATTTTGCTTGAGATTAGTCAGTCTCGTAGACTATGTTAGAACTTATATTGCTAAAAGTGTACTGTCTCCCTTTAAACTCAGAAATTGGTGTGGTGTTAGTAGAATGGCAAATATTCTGACTAATAACCAGCAGAGCTAAAAAATGTAAATGACAAAAAATGTTAACTTCAGAAAGATTGGAACTGTTATACAATTGTGGCTTAAAGAAAAGTTTGAATACTGAGATGTAAAGTAGTAAAGCCAACAATATTGCATGATACTAATAGTACTATTCTAAGTACTTTCACATGTAGTGATTTAATCCTAATAAAACTGAGTAGTTCCTTTTAAGGATATTCACTGTGAAGCAATGTATTGCAGTCCTGTGTGCATACGTGCATCCTACAAATAGTCCTGAGTCTTCCATGTACCAGACATTGTCAGATGCTAGAGATACATTGGTGAGCAAGATAGGCTTTCTGTCCTCATGGAGCTTACATTTTGTTAGGGAGATGGATAAAAATCAGCTAAAGAAATACCCATAGTAACATATTAAAGGTTAAAACAGATGATAAGAAAATAAGCTAAAACAGGATAAAAAGAGACTGGGAGTGCTTTGAGGGGTCAGAGAAATCTTTGCAGTGGGGATATTTGAACAGAGACCAGAATGAAGTTGGGAACTACGAACTGTGAAGAACATTTCAGACAAACAGCATGAGCACAGAAAGAGCTTAGGAGAGAATATGAGACAAATAATAAAGAAGTAATAAAGAAGCCATGGTAGCTTAAGCCAGGGGAGGAATGGAGGGAGCGAGCAACAAGAATTGAGATATTGTCTACATATGGTAGGAAGATACTGGAGGGTATTAAACAGGGCATGATGGCTGTTTATGTTTAGAAGGGTAATTGCAGCTGCTCTGTGAAGAGAACATGGGGTGTAGCAGTGGGAGCAGAGAGACAGAGCTTGGGCTTCTGTTGTAACTCAAGCAAGCGTTGATGGTTGATGGTGGCATCTTAGACCAGGATTGTAGTGGTGAGGTGATGAGAGATGACAGATTTGTGTGAGAGGAGACCTAATAGAATTTGTTGACAGATTGGAAGATTGGGTGTAGGAGAAAACAAGGAGTCAAGGGTGACTCCAGAGTTTTGGGATTGAGTGAATGGTGGTGCTGTTTATTGAGCTGTGAGTTAGAGGAGGATCACTCGTAGAAAGAAATTTAAAATCTGGGGGGTTTTTTTGATACTTTATTTTTTTTAAGATTTTATTTATTTATTTGTCAGGTAGAAGAGAGCACAAGCAGGGGGAGTGGCATGCAGAGAGAGAGGGAGAAGCAGGTTCCCTGCTGAGCAAGGAGCCTAATGTGGGATTTGATAACAGGACCCTGAGATCATGTCCTGAGCTGAAGGCAGACACTTAATTGACTGAACCACCCAGGTGTCACAAAAATCTGGGTTTTGATGAAGATTGAGGTAGCCTATTAAACATTCTTTTTTTTTTTTAAGATTTTATTTACTTGACAGAGAGATCACAAGTAGGCAGAGAGAGTGGAGGAAGCAGGCTCTGTGCTGAGCAGAGAGTCCAATGTAGGGCTTGATCCCAGGACCCTGAGATCATGACCTGAGCCAAAGGCAGAGGCTTAATTCCCTGAGCCACCCAGGCGCCCTGCCTATTAAACATCTTAAGTGGAACTGTTGAGTCAGTAGTTAAATGTACAAGTTGAATGCCGTAAGAGAGAAGTTAGGGCTGGAGATACAACTTTAGGAGTTGCCAACCTCTAAATAGTACAAAACGGAAGGAGGTTGGAGAGGAGAAGGGGTCCGAGGACTCGGCTCTGGTACACTCTGAAGACCAGTTAGAGTAGAGTGGACCCCAAAAGGAGGATGTTTTTGTTAGTGCTTCTGAGAAAGCTAGTAATTTGAGGACATGCCTCCTGATGCCCACAGATTCATCTCTCCAGAAGTCCTTGGTGGCCCTCGACAAGGGCAGTTGTGGGGACTTTGAGACAAAAAGCTGGAGTTTACTTCAGGAGATTAGACAGTGAGGAGGAAGAAGAGGTTGCCATAAAGGGGAGCTAAGAAATGGAGTGGAGAGTGGGGGAGAGGGACACGTAGTCAAGGAAGAATTTTCATTACTTTCGATTTTAGATGAGAAATAGTTCTATAACATATTTGTATGCTTTGGGGAGTGATCATCTTCATAATCATCAAACACTTAGTGATTACCTTCTGTGGACTAAGTGGCATCTCAGACTTGATAGGATTCTCTTTCAGGTATCTATATGCTTTTTGTGCCAGCCAGCCAGCCATGGAATCACACTCTGGTCCTTCAGCTTCTAGCCAGGTGATATGAGCAAGTTACCTGACTTTTCTGAGCCCACTTCCTAATCTGGAAAATGATACTTGAGGTTTTTAAAACAGATACATTAGCTGATGGACTGCACTGACTAGCATACTCACAGTGGTCTTTAGAGACGGTTTTTCCTTTAATGTCATTATATATTATTGGAAAAGTCAACTGAATTTGCTACACAAAATGTGGTCCATTGGCCGGTAGGATTAACATCAGCTGTCAGTTTGTTCGAAATGCAGACTGTTAGGCCCCTATGAGATCTGTGGTATTCAAACAAGACCAGATGATTTGTATGCACATCAAAGTTCGAAAAGCAGTGATCTGGAAAACAAGTATCTGCCCGCCCTGTTTTTCAGGTGTTCATGGAAGATGGTAACAGCTTCCACATTCTACCAGGCTTGTGATCTGAAAGTATTTTTACACCTCGCCTTATTGCTTCTCAATGTTTCTCCACATGTGATGACCTCTTCTTTTCTAATTATTGAAATACAGATAATTAGGAAGGTTGATAAGCAGACCGCATTACTGGATGCAGATGACCCTGTGTCACAACTCCATAAATGTGCATTTTACCTTAAGGATACAGAAAGAATGTACTTGTGCCTTTCTCAAGAAAGAATAATCCAGTTTCAGGTATGTTTTAAAATTACTGGTAAAAATGTGCCATCTTTCGGTTAGCAGCATAGAGACCTAAAACTTGTTTAATGTTAATTGTGCCCAAGTACATGAAGCTGTTTTCAGATATTTATCTCAAGTCCAAAGGTTCTTAAGCTGCGTGATCCTGAGACATGGCAGTCACTATACCTCAAGGAAGAACTTGGAACTATAAAAGTGTTCTTGACCATCCAGGTTTGGGAATCGAAAAGTTCCTTAGATCTTCCAGAGGTAGATTTTGGGTGTTTGGTGAATCCCCTGAAACTGCATGAAGACATTGTAGATAGATACATGCATGTTTTGGGGGAGGGTTCAGAATTATCCGATTTACATTGGGATCTTCCTAGATACTAATGACAAGATGTTTCGAAAGCTGATTTTTCACTACATTCACTCAGAAGTCTTTCATGAGGACATCTATGACATGGGCAGATGATTCCATAGGATAGTTAATCTTTCATGGGAAACTCACTTGTAAACATCTGGAGGCCACGTGCAGCCGTTCTTCTCAGCTCAGAGCGGATGGGCTGGTCTGGGTGTTTCAAGGTAGGGCTGGGGGGTGCCAGTTCACATCTCGGTTCCCCCCTGCTGAAAGTGCATGAGTTTCTCACTGCTCTTTAAGGTTGAGGGGCTCCTAGTCTCTCTCTCAGGGATCTGAGTTTTAAGTAGTTATTTACATCACGAATACTGATCTTTTATTAAAGAAATTATACAGATATTGGTGTACTCTCAAATGGTTATTATGAAAGGTATATAACATGTCATTGAAATACTTCATATTCTAATAAAAACTGCTGAATGTGAGGTTGCCATATTAAATATTCTGTGTTTATTTAGGGACTGTCAAAGCACCGTGTTTGGGAAGTTCATACATTTGTACCGAACTCTCTCCCCGTTAATTCCAGTATATGAGTGCTACCTTATTAAAATTGTCTTATACTGCAATGTATATAAAAATCCATTTCTAAACATTCTTTCTTCATAAGGCCACTCCATGCCCAAAAGAACCAAATAAAGAGATGATAAATGATGGAGCTTCCTGGACAATCATTAGTACAGATAAGGCAGAGTATACATTTTATGAGGGGATGGGCCCTGTCCTTGCCCCAGTCACCCCTGTGCCTGTTGTAGAAAGTCTTCAGGTAAGTCCACTTACTCACAAGTTGACTTTTAGCTTTTTGTAACTGCTCCCAGCTCTGACTAGGTGTGATTTTTATTTCACAGTAAATTTGATTTTTCTCCAAATCTTGTGATTCGGGGATGTTAATACATCGTTTGTTGATTTAAAAAAAAAAAAAAAGAACACACTTTTATACAAGAAAATTTAAGTTTAGATCTACTTGAATGTTACATTGAGATGTGATTAGCTCACTTTGTCTTTATAATCATGTTGTTATTTATCTATTTTTAAAGATTTTATTTATTTGTTAAAAAGCAGGGAGCACGAGCTGGGGGGAGGGGGCAGAAGGAAAGGGAAAAGCAGGCTGGAGCCTGACATGGGGCCTGATCCCAGGACCTTGGCATCATGACCTGAGCCAAAGGCAAATCTTAACTGACTAAGCCACCCAGATACCCCTCATGTTATTTAAAAAGAAGAGTTTAATTGATTCTTTTCACAAATCACAGTCAAATGAAAAGCTAATCTGTGTACTTTAATGACAAATGAAAAATTTTCTCAACAGTTGTTCTCATTTTCTGTGAATTTCAGTTGAATGGCGGTGGGGACGTAGCCATGCTTGAACTTACAGGACAGAATTTCACTCCAAATTTACGAGTGTGGTTTGGGGATGTAGAAGCTGAAACTATGTACAGGTACTTAAACTTCTTACATCATCTAGAGTTTCTCATGGGCATGGATACATGAGACTCTTTCTTGATATTGATTGTAATGTAGCAAGCAACCTGTTTTAAGTTCTAGTTCTAAAACATACATGGCTTCTAAGTGATTTCTGTTTCCCCCTCAGATGTGGAGAGAGTATGCTCTGTGTCGTCCCAGACATCTCTGCATTCCGAGAAGGTTGGAGATGGGTCCGACAGCCAGTCCAGGTTCCAGTAACTTTGGTCCGTAACGACGGAATCATTTATTCCACCAGCCTTACCTTTACCTACACACCAGAACCAGGGCCACGGCCACACTGCAGTGCGGCAGGAGCAATCCTTCGAGCCAATTCAAGCCAAGTGCCCCCCAATGAATCAAACACAAACAGCGAGGGAAGTTACACAAATGTCAGCACAAATTCAACCAGTGTCACATCCTCTGCAGCAACAGTGGTGTCCTAACTACCGTCTTTTTGCTAGGACTTAAACTGACTGGAGTGCCGCAAGATGTTGACAAAAAAAAAGAGAGAAAGAGAGAGAAAGAAAAAGGAAAAAAATGAACAATCTTTTGTGGTTTCTTGGGAAAACTTTTCATACCAGGTGATACTGTTCCAAAACCCCATTACCTACAAGTGCTGATTGGAAGCGCAGAAGCCACAGTAAAACAGACAAGCAAAACGTGGAAATGTGCAAACTGTTGAAAGTTGATTTTTTTTTTTTAAGCTGTTCTTTTTGTTTGATTGGGTTTTGTTTGGTTTTGTTTAAATGGGCAAGAAATAGAGATGTGGCTGGAATAAAAGTTAATCAAACTAGAGGACACAAATCTAACATAGTTTCTACGGACCAAGGAACTTGTATAAGCTTTAGCAAAAGGTACATTTTCACCATACCTTTTTTTTTTTATATCACAGTATCTAGTACACCTTTGTTACCAAATAGGTTGTTCTCCTTCCCGCCTCCTTTTGAGCTTTCACTCTTCAGTACATTCAAGTTCCAAGCCTGACCACACTTGTTTAATCTAATTACCATATTCTTCCAGGGTTTTTTGTTTTGTTTTTTAAATTTAAGGCTGGAACTATTCTTTTTTTTTTCTTTCTTTTTTCTTTTTATTTGGTTGTTTTTTTTTTTTTTTTTTAAAAGCTGATGTCTTATGACTTTCATGAGTCAAAATTGTTTTGATTTCAGCAAGTCAGATCTTGTAAAGGCCCGCATATTTTTTAAGATTATATGAAGTCTGTGCAAAAGCTTTAAAAAAAAAATGCCTCTGCCTTGCCTGCAATACATGCAATGTACATGAACTTTGTCTCTGTTCACAGACGCTGTCCCGTAGTTACTGTCTTGTTTTCCTTTTTTTTTTTTTTTTAAGGTATTTATAGTGGTATTCCAAGAGGGTCTAACATTTATGTGGAATTAAATGTGGCCATTTAGTCCTTAAGGAATTAATGGCACAGAACATGTTGGGTATTTGAAGTGTTCTCTCCCATTTTCCCATGCATAAATGTATCTCCGTGTTCCAGGATTTGTTCAGGTCCCTTCCCCTATCCCCCCCACCCCAATTCCCTGATCTTGTACATAACTTGTATTATGTGTAAGTTAAACATTTTATTTTGAACTTGGAATGTTCCCAGTGATTTCATTCAGCAGGGTGTTTTCTGCCTTGTGGGCATATGACAAAAAAAAAAAAAAAAAAGAAAAAGAAAGAAATATCATGAGATGTATTTGCTACCAGTTGGTAGGTGGTGCCCTTATTGTATAACGAGGAAAATCTCAGCAAAAGCATGTGTTTACTTTTTCTTTCTTTTCTTTTTTTTTTTTTTTTGGTAGCTTAGGTCAAAACATCATTGTAACCTTAAAACAAGATGCTTTTAATAGATGACCAACTAAAATAGCTTGGAAGACAGTACTTTAGAACAGATAGTTGTGAGATTATAAAACTGCAAATGTAATTTATCTTTCCATATTTCTCTGCCTTTCTTAGTCTTCTCTTTCCCAGTACTGAGTGTCCCCACAAATGTCTCCTACTCAAAACATTTCTTTTCCATTCAGTTAAGATTTAGTAGCATTCAGGGTTGTGTGTCGGCCTCATATGCTCGACTCACCAGTTTCACATTGCTTCCATTCCTGCGCTTCGGTTATGCCTTTGTTCAGTTTCTTAGAAATTGCAGCCAACTCATTGGGCTACATTTAGTACAGGAACCATGTGTGTAACTTATAGGACACAGTCTAGTAATACAATCATCCTTCTTAGAGTTAAAAACTACCTCTAGAATGTGGTAAGCTTTTACTGTCCCATGAAACAGGAGCCACAAGTACCTTATGAATGCAAGATTAGCTTCCTGCAGTGTTTCCAGATAGAACATTGTCTTTTCTGGTGTCCTGGGCGATTTTGAAAACATTTTCATTGGAAGACTTTTTAAACATTTCATTAGTAGCTTTTTTTAAGTCACCCCAACTTTGCAAGATGTCTTCATCACTCATTCTTTTGCTCAGACTATGTCATTGTAAATAACGACTCCTAACCTCTCTAAATCACTTTTTCCTCAGTTTTCAAGGGGGAAGTCATTTGTAAAACACATTAGTGGTTAAATCAAAGTTATTATGGTTTTATCTTACTGCAAGCCTTTTTAATTACTCACAGGCTGCATTATTCTCTCTATATAGCCTTCTCTTCAGATCTGCTCCAGTCACTAGCTTCTCCTGTAAGCTAACCCTGCCTCACACTTTAAATCTGTTTCAGTGATCAAGGGCAGAATTGTGGCCTTATCTTTCTTTGTTTTAACTGCTTACTAGCTTCTCCTTGCAAACTTGCTTATTTCCGAGTAGTATTTATTCCTCTATGTTGTGTCACGGAAGTAGTCTTTACACAGTGCTTTTTGTTCGGAGTGTGGAAATATTTTCAGTGCCGCTTTCCTTTGAATGGGCCACAAGTTTCCTCCTCTTCCCAGATTTGGTATTTAGTTATGAAACTGTGTTAAATTAACTGGTAACAGATGAGATATTTTGGAAGAACAAACGATTCCTTACCTACCTTTGCAGCTCAAATTAATTTTTCAAGTTTATGGCTTTATTAAAAATGAACTTCGCTTTTTTACTATTTAATTATACCTTATTTTGGCTCGTTGTTTCTTTTAATAAGATGATTTTGAAATATTAGACTGTAAAGCCTTTTCCTGTTTGTTTTTTGTTTGTTTGAAAAGTCCAAGAATGTACTTATACAGGCATTTCCCTTGCTGTTTTATGCCATTATGCATACCACAAACTAAAGACTGAAATGATTTGTCTGTTGTAGCTTCTTTTTTATCAGTAGTTCTTTTGTCAGCTGCTTTAAAAAAAAATCTTCATGGATTTGTGAATCATTCAGTGTGTAATTTATAGGAGCCTTGTCCTCTGTTTATAGAAGAACTCAGCCCCTCCTCCAATGGCATTATTAGAGATGCTGGTCCTTTTCCACATAATGACTCTCTTAGAAACGTGAACGCTTCAGTTAAAGTAGAGAACTGTCGAGTTTGGGGTTTTGTTTTTGTTTTTTAATTCTGTTTTAGAAGCGTGTCTTCTGCTCTCATGAGCTATGCAATTTCTAAAAATATGCTAGAAACTGAGTCTGTGATCTGGTATGTTTTCATTATTTCCATTGAATTGATCACATACATTGGGAAGGCAAGTTAAAGACTTTTAAATGTAGAATGCCCTTTTGATTTTGGATGATTTCTGAATTGAACACTAGGATAATATTTAACCTGCTGCTGACTTTTCTTCAACTGTGGCAACTAAAGGCATCCTCATTTATATGTTAGTGAAATATTTATCACTCTTCTGCACAGACTTATTTGCGATCATAACTGGTTAGTTTTTGTGTGTGATTTTTTTTTAACAAAACTGGTACCATCTGTGCCCTCACAGAATATTCCCAATGCAGTTTCTGAGAACTAAACTTCGTCATGTTTAACCAGATAATCCATGGGGGGAGGGGTTCCTTTTTTAAACAAAATGCTCTTCAATTATTAACCAAGTTACTTACTTCTGATTTCAAAAGCAGCTGTGTTTTCTGATGAGTACTGAACAAATGTGTGTATTTTCTGTGCCAGACTTTTGACTTTGTTTTCAAGCACTGTAATGTGGGATGAATGATTAGAAACAATAATATATTAGGGTTTCTATTTAACCCTTTCAGGACTGAACTGTATCTCCTTTTATTAATTTTTCCCTGTGTTGTGATAAATGTTTGCCAGCATTCAGTACTGTGTTGGTCCAGATGTAGGTTTATATGCTCATTTTTAGCTTATTTCTTGTACCTTGCAGCATGCTCTACGCATTCAGTCCTTAAGGGGTTTATTTTACAAACTGTGCGCCTGTAAGGTTTATTAGCAATAAGATAGAAAATTGAGCAAGTTTATACCATAATTTTGTAGAAAAAGGAATCTGCTCAGTTCCATATTTCATCCATGAGAAACCTGCAATACAGCAGTTTCAAGGAATAAATAAAAAGGAAATGTAAACCATTGTAAAAGTCTTCTGTTGAATGTGCCTGATGCATGTATGACCTCTTGATTTCAGAACACTTCATATACAATTAAATTACATATCACAATTTGTCTATTAAAAATCTAGCTTGCTATCTGTATCATATCAGACTGATAGCGATCTGACCTTCCTTTTCAGTGTTTTTAACTATGTCAGGCTTCTGAGAGAGAGTTTCAGGGCTTTTCCTCCTGTAAATAAGGAAGGGGGCCCAAGAGGAATATCTCCCAGTTCAGGAATGTATCAAGCTATATCAGCTGAAGGATAATGGGATTTGCAACTGTTTGCTTGCTCTCAACAAGATTAAAAAGTGTTATTTTAGCAACAGCTTGCTTTCCACTATAAAGTTGTTATTTGATTTGCCATATAGAAGAACATAGAGTGATGATTTATGCTTTTTAAAAAAAGATTTTATTTATTTATTTGACAAAGATCACAAGTAGATAGAGAGGCAGAGAGAGAGAGAAGCAGGCTCCCCGCTGAGCGGAGAGCCCAATGCTGGGATCAATCCCAGGACCCTGAGATCATGACCTGAGCCAAAAGCAGAGGCTTAACCCACTGAGCCACCCAGGCGCCCCTGATTTAAGCTTTTTAGTGGGGGCTCCTAATCAGAGAGAGCATTCTTTGTTTAATAGGGAAACAAAGTAAAAGGGAGATGTTACATGTTTTTTATGTCATAGCAAGTTCTTTATCTGACTTCTCTCAAGAGAAAAAAATACGTTACCAAGAATTTTACTAAAGACCTCTTTTTCTAAAATTAGTGATTGTTTTAAATAAGAGACAATTTAGTTGGAAGCTTTTAAAGGTGGAGATTGATAGTGATTACTTGATGTAGAATTTAGAAGAGAGTAATAAGCATATATTCCTTGCTATAAATAGTATGTGAGCCCTTTCTAAGCAATTTTACCAAAGATCCATTAAGTCTATTTTCTTCTTGTTGTCACTGAACCCCTAGGTGATTGCCATTTACAAAGATGCAGAGGGCAAGCTACATCAGGTTCTGGTG